CAAAAACGGATACTTAGCTTGAATGGTTTTATGGGATGTCATTCATGCATTGCACAAGTATGCTTTGAGGTTACTTGAGAAGTAGTTCTCTTGTGATATGAAAGACTAAGGGTTGAATAATGCTTATATGATGCTTGTGTTGGAGACTTTGCTTATTATTATGATATTGTCTCTTATGTTTATAGTTTATATTTCATGAAGTATTTCTTATGCTTGTGGATTATGTCTCATGTTGACTAACCCTTATGTTATGCTCTTATAATGTTATGCTAGCTATCATATTTAGTACTTTTGTACTAACGCATACTTTGCCTACATTCTAATCAAATGTAGGGTTCGGAGATTGAGTTCCATTCTGAGGATAAGTTTCTAAGGAGAAAGGAGTTGAAAATTTGGTGAGTCCTCATAGCTTCGAGGACAAAGCCACTATTTCCTTTATGTCTTTTACTTTCATGTTTTGAGACTATTGTATGAGATATGCCCTAAGAGTTTATTCGAAAGTTGTATTAGATGGTTTGAGATAAAGTATAAAAAGACTTCTGCTTGCTTTATAAAAGTCTTCGATTGTATGGATAAAGTTTTTTAAAAAATTTCGTACTTTTCTATTATATTATGTTATGATATGTTAAGGGCTTGTATGAGACCTCTTCAGGGTCAAGTACACCATGTTACTTCTAGGGTGTACCCCTGGGTCGTGACACCAACGACTCTTGGTCATAAAGTAAGAAGGGTCATGTATGGCGACCCTTGTTAAGGTACCAACGACGGAAGGATAAGTTCGACTAACGGCCATGTACCTTGTGAGAGTCCTTAAGGAGTCAACATTCGTAGCCACCAATGTGAGTGTGACGAAGGAAAATTATGCGAAAGGGACTTCATCACTATATATAGGGAAAGTTCTGCAAGAGGACAAAGACGTGATGTCTGAGGACCTACACAAAGGCATTGATCGAGTCAATAAACTGATGGTCGCGCATATGAGAAGACAAGACTCGATTGTTTATGCAGCAGTAATGCGACGCGGTCGTTGCGACATCAGGTGGGGGAGAGTCTCATGACCTGCCACTTTGCCATTTCAACTTGACATAAAAATAAGGAGGAAAAATCTAGAGTTATGGATAGGTTAGTGGAAGACTCTAGAATTTCCTAGATCTTTCATTAGAAGACTCTAGAATTCTTAGAAAATATTTTAGAAAACTTTAGAATTCTCTAGACTAGTAGAGAATTCTAGAAGAGAGACTAGATTGTAAATAAGTAAAGACTTGTGTAGCAACTTTTATTTACACTTTAACCCCCTAGGAAGTAGTATAAATAGAGGGGCTCTCATTTGTAAATCATCCAACAAGTTGTAAGCAATCTTCCACTAAGCAATACAAAGCCTTCTTTCAAAGCTCTTTTGTCTTTCTTTTCATTCTCTTAGCGGTCTTAGTTTCAAAGGGCTTACTTGAGCTTATAAGATCTTGAAAGATTAGTGAGTAAGTTGTCAAGCACCACACAGAGCTTTGGTGAGACTCTAAGTCCGTGACAGTTTACTCTTAGTGCACTAATACTGCAAAACAAAAGAGGGGATCAAACAATGAACTCGGATAATAACGTCCATGAACAAAATTATACAAAATCCCTAGATAATCATATCTAAATTCAAATGACAAAAGTAGAATCCAGCTAGGTCAATCAATTCTTGACTGAAACAAGAAGCGCAGTCAAAAGCTTATCAAGTCAAGACTTGCCCCGTCCCATTAACATCCCAAAATATAAAAAAAAAAGTGAAATACCTGGAACAACAATCCTTGAACTGGAAGATTTCAATATCAACTTGCTTAGAATCCACGACCTCCTTCTGCCTGTATAAATAATCAAAATCAGAATAGAAACCGCCTCTTTAAAGATTCAATTAAAGCTACACTACTACTACTCACAGAGACATGTGAGGTTATCTAGAAGTTTTTCAGCCTCGTCAAAGAAATGGGATACCACTTCAACTCTGCTCTCATTTCGCAGTTTCTGCAATTGAAGAAACTTACTTTCCAAGAACTTGTGTTCAACAACAAGAAAAAAAAACTCAAATCAAATACATGCAAAACAAACAGAAACAAGGGGGAAACGGTACTAAAGACAGATACCGATTGAATCTTTTCGAATTCTATTTTTTGGGTAACCCAAAAAAATGAAAGAAAATAGATAAAGATTGTGGTTCGATTTGATTTTTTAACTATAACCATGAACAACCCTAATCCTATGATATAGTAATAAATTTGATTGATAATAACAAAGTAAGTAGGTGTTGGTTAAATTTGAAAAGTGAAAGGAATTATTTATATCCAATATAATAGTTTAAAGGTTAGTAAAAGTAATAATATCAACTATAAATTTTAATTACATATGAAATTGATGAATGATTGTTATAATAAAGGATTATGATTGCCTAGTGCGGGTTACCTCTCCTATGTGGTTTGCGAGCTATTGCATAGGAGCGGGGGTTTTACTCTGTGCGCACCAAAAGGTAGCGGCTGCGGGTTTCCCTTGTCATCAAAAAAAAATAAAGGATTATGATTAACTTTTCAAAAAAATGTCTCAATTATATCATACAAATACTTTATAGGCATAACACATAAATAGAACCCTTAAACTTTCAAAATGCACAAATAGGCACTTTAACTATTCAACTATTAAACAAAAAGAGTAATACTTGAATCCCACTTGGCAAAAAGAGCCGGGTGCTTTACTTCCTGCTCTTTGTCCATTCGAAGAATAGGGTCTGAAAGGACAACTCTTAATAAGATTAGATGACACGTGATGTGCACTCAATTTGCGTGCATCAGGAGTAAATTCCGAGGCCCACAGCAGTAAAAAAAGAGAGAGTAAATTTTAGATAAATCATATTTGTATGTTATAGCTATAATTTGTATAATTGCGCTTCATAGAGTAAATTTTAGGTAAATCATATTTGTATGTTATAGCTATAATTTGTATAATTGCGCTTCATAACAAACTTTATGTTTGATATGACTATTAATCTGTATATTTTGGTATACATATACATAAAAAAATATGTATTTGGGTTTATTTGTATATTTTGGTATACAAATGGGTGATGCATTTGTATATTTCAGTCTATTTGTATATTTCGATATACAAATGAGATGACAAAAAACATGGAATGTTTGTTGCGAATTACGAATAAAAGAAACTATGACTATAACATTTAATTTGAATTAATAGTTTGTTATTTCATACAATTTTCCCAAAAAAATATGTTGAAATGACAATTATACCCTTAATTAACCCCTTTTATATATATTTTTAAATCAAAATTCATTTTTTTTTCCGTCTTCTTTCAAACCAAGCTTTTTTTCTCTCTATAACACGGTTTTTGCTTATTTTTAGTGCAAATGGCTTCTACTTTTTTTTTTTGTCATTGTGAAAAAAGAGCTATAATGAAGATTTCTTGGCTTGAAAATAATCCAGGTCGTTGGTTTTTTCAAACCAAATTTTAATGTAATGTCGTTTTTCTTTTACTTTCATTTGAAATTACCTCTAGCTTCTTCAATTTTATGAAAGTATACTGTCCATAGTATTTGAATACAATTTAAGGTTTTGTTTAGGATTATTGTGCTTCAGGTAGTTGCCAATTTACAATATTTAACCACTATGTATCTCTTTATTTGAGAGATTAAGAGTCATGAAAAATGAAATGAAACGGCTGTTGCATTAATCTTGTGCTTGACCTTACAAAGAAAGGAACCAACGACATGGATTGTTTTCAGCATAAATCTTGAACGATTTTTCCTTTGATTCAACATTTGGTTGTAAAATCCCCTACTAGGGTTTTGTGATTTTTGAGAGAGAACCGGGTAAAATGGGAGAGTCTTTAGTAATTGAATATTAATTTAGTTTTTTTTAAAATTATTTTATTTAAAAAAAATATAGATTGAACACGGAGTATATGCGTTACACAAAATCACTTTCAATTGTGGTAGGTCCACCGTCCAAATAGGTGGAATGTGTTAATGCCACTTTAGAATTTTAATTAAGTGAAGTTTAATTTAAGATACAAGATTTTATTGACAGTTGGACAATATCACTCTCACATTGTTGGATTTTTACATTATGAGGTAAATGAAAAATCACCCTCCAAGATTGTTATTGGACATACCTACCCAACTTCTAACTTCACATAGTTTTTTTTTCTTTTTTTTTTATGATCATCGTGGTATCTGGACTAGTTTTCACGCATCTTGACTAATCCTGCAAAAAATCTGCCACCTTCCACCAACAACAACTCTATCCACTAATGCTGGGATTGATGGAAAGAATCATTTCATATTTTTTTTATCTCTACTAAATTTTAAACTTGAAACATCAGAGTTTTCGACCACTTTATTGACAATTAAGCCATCAGTGCACTTCTAACTTCACATAATATCATCTAATCAAAGACCCTTTTGGCTCATCTATAATTATAAACAAAATTTTGAGCAAGGTAAAGAATTGCACAAATATAAAGTTGGTTTTCATCTCTAAGAAGAATTTTAAAGATCTCCCCTTAAAGGGAAAACAAATACAGTAAAAAGAAGTAGAGAACTACCAAAATTTAACAAATAATTTCAATACAATATACTCTATAAATCTCTGATTATAGTAAGTATTTACATGTCATAAAAACTATAAAAAAATCCTGCATCTCAATGATTTCATTTGCTTGATCTCCCCACACTAATGCATTGCACAAAGATCCATCGCGCTTTTTTCTTGCTATAAGCTTCTTTTCTCGAGGTAGGTACCAACAGAGACAAATCCAAGACTTAAAAGTCACTAAGTTCAAAATGAGCGTATTCTTATTATATCGATATATATATACACATGGTTCGATCCAAAAGTAATAGGTTCAACTTGGGTTCAGTCCTAAATCCGCCTCCACGTACCAACATAAGCATTGATCCAGTGTGCAACTTTGTGTTGTACCATAATTACGATGGAGAAACCGACTGAAACCAATTCCTTCATCTCTTCAAGAAGATGTTTGCCAGTTTTAACAAATAAAACAAGCATTTGTGCCTCGAACTCGATTCATCACACTATCTTAAAGAGACTTCCAATGCTATTTGTTCCTTCAGACTTAAACCACTCAACCCTCTAGTCGTTTTGTTTTCTTCAGCGTTAAAGAGTTCTTCATAATACCTCTTCCAATGTGATGGTTTTCTAATTCTCATGATTATATCCCGGCTTTCACTGTTGCCTCTTAGAAGCTGAAGAATCTGTATCGACCCAAAGTTATGATTAATTCTAGTGACACAATTGTAAGGGCGGATGGAAGAGCGCGCGTAGGAGAATGTCAAAAGACAAGAATCAATTAAACATGTATGCAGTTTCTACTTGAAAATTAAAATTTGATCACAAGAACTTGCCTGATTTATTCGGGGTCGCTTAATTGAAGACTGCTGGACACATAAAGAAGCAGCTAAGACCATGAGGTTCATCTGTAGTAAGTCGTAGTCATCCGCAAGTGAAGGATCAACGAGCTCTCTGATTCTGTTCTTCTTCAGCAGGGGTTTAGCCTAGAATAAACAAAAAAGAGCATTCAACGTGTTTACCCGACATAAAAATGATGGATAAGTTATGCAAGAGGCAAACGTACGACGGACATAACTTATATGCACTACAATTGCAATTTCATTTTTTTTTAACATGTAGTAGCAGGGTATAATCTTATTTTACACATCAGTTATTAGTGCAAAAACTCTTTTGCTTAGTTGGTGTATATCGTAAAACAATGGTGAAGAAACGAGGGATACCCAAATGACGAGGCTTTGCTGTGAGTAATCAAGGGCTCGACGTCCAGTAATAAGTTCCAAAAGAAGCACTCCAAAAGCAAAAACATCAGTTTTTTCATCCACTATGCCATGCATTAAGAACTCGGGAGCAAGATAGCTGCAGTTACAAGGTTTTATGACAACATTTTAGAAAGACAAACTTGCAAGAATTAGAAGCATTATATCACAAGCAGGAAAGTAAGGGAAGGCCAAATGTTGTACACACCCGAATGTTCCTTCGAATTTTCCTACAGTGAGGTGAGTCCATCGCTCTGGTAACCATTTTGCTAGCCCAAAATCACATATCTGAATTTAAAGAAGAAAGTATTTCAGGTTTTATCGATACCTAAAAAGTAAGACGTAAGATTATAAGGATTTTGTTTCCTTGAGTATACTTTCGTAGTTTCATTAAAGCACTTTACAATTAGGAAAGAAATGTTACTAATAGTTAGAATACCTGAGGTTCGAGGTCCTTCATGAGCAATATATTTGCTGCCTTAATATCTCTATGGATAATCCTTCTTTGCCCACCCTCATGAAGATACAATATCCCTTTAGCTATCCCTATCGCTACCTTATACCGGATTTTCCATTCTAGTTTCTGCTTCGATGCTGTGATATATTGTAGAATAGAGTTAAAAAAAACAGACGAAAAGATCGACATAATGCATAAGATCTATTGAAGCGTACTAACCATGCAACATATTGGTCAAACTTCCATAAGGAGATAGCTCAAGCACAAGAAAGAGTCCTCCATCAACGGCATAACCGATCAATTTAGCAGTGTTTGGATGATTGATATGTGCCATTATACCTAGCTCAGATAAGAAATCCCCTATTCTCTCATCTTGTGGTCCCCTTGTCAGCCGCTTAACCGCGATAAACTGCCCATTTCGTAACCGTCCTTTATGAACTTCAGCATAACCACCCTTTCCTATCAAATTTTCTGCAGTAAAGAATTGCGAAAAGTTTTCACCATCAAAAACTACAAAATTGAAACTTCTTTCATTTAACAATAGACGTACAACAATAACTACTAACACTAGGCCTCAATCCGAAGCAAGCTAGGGTCTGGGGAGGGTAGAGTATACGCAGACATCCCTACCCCTACCTTATAGAGTAGAAAGACGGTTTCTGATAGACGTTTGACTCAAAAAGAGATGAAAAGGAAGTTGTAATACCAATATCAAGATAATAAGATAAACGAAATGGAAGAAACAAAGTAGGTAGTACTATAGATTTAAGACTAAGCAAACATATAAATGAAACTAATACTCCTGGACGAAAAAGAATAACGCTCGACAACCTACTAACCCTCCACCCTATACTCGACCTCCACTCCTAGCAAACAATGGACCTAAATTAAACGTACTAACATGACTAAAACTTAACAACAACTATGTAGTCACTACATTCAAAGATTCGAGGTGTATTAAAATTTCGAGCAGATCGATGGCCAACCTTGATGAAAATAATTGGTTGCAGTTTGAAGCTCAGATAGGGTGAAAAGTTTCCATTGAGGTTTGAAATAGCTCAAACCATTATCCAGGATAGAATTCGGCATGTCACCGCTACTCGTGTCTCTCATGCTTCTGCTGAACCTTTTGGACAGTTTCAGAGAACTAATTAAAGGATCTTTCGTCATATGTCCTTTCGATTTACTTCTAAATAGCTCGAGAAAACCAGTCCATCTCGAACTAGATCTTTGATTTTTCGAGCCATCAAATTCCGATGTGCTGGCTTTCGAAGAGTCTGATTCAGATTCTGCTGTCCTCAAAAAGTCTTCAAGAACTGTATCTGGAGAAAATGCATTCACTTTTGTTTTCTCCATGGCTAAAGCTCATACGTATCTACCATAAATTAGCAAAAAAATGTTGGATTAATGAACTAAAAACCAACAACATAATGATTTTTCATACCATGCAGAGTTAAAAATTCAAGAATTAAAGCTTATAAAAAGACTAATCTCTATAATTAACAAAGAAACTAAGACAAATTACAGTAAAAAAGAAAAAAAGTTCATAACTTTAGGAACAGAGCAAGGCCAAAATACATATGATTAAACAAAAAACAGAGCATCTCCCAGAAACTATTACTGATTTACATGACACATTTGAAACTTCGAACAGTCAAACTAAAAGAATTTTGACTAAAACTCTTCCTATATATTTTAAATTGTTAATTACTATGATCTATACTACTTTAAACCTCAATTTCAAAAAAAATTAAAGCTTCTGTATTCGAATTCACAATCAAAATTTAAAATTTTGAATTTCAAAATTCCAAACAGCCACAATACAGAAGGAGCATTTCTTTCTTTCTTTTTTCATTTTATATGACGGTGTTTGACTAGACACGAAATTAAAGTTACAAAATATTGAATTAAAAAAAATCATGAACAGCTATTTATGCAAAAAAAAAAAAAAACTAGAAATACCCAGAAACAGAACTTAAAAAAAAAAACAGAGCACAAATTCCAAGAATTGTTCATAAATGGTGTAAGAGATTATATATTATAACATACCAGAAAGAAGATGAAGAGAGATTTTGTTGAAGGAAGTACAAAGTTCCACAACACAAGTGAACGGTCGAAAAGTTAAATATAGAGATATTGGAATTGGAGCTAAATATATTTCTGGGTTTTAGGAACATTTCATATTCACATATTTCTTTTTGTCTTTTTTCTAATAGTAGTATTTTTTTGAAATAAAGGAGAATTCAAACTTTGGCTACAAATTTTAATTTTAAGGTTTTTTTTTGTTTTAATTGAGGAAGGGGAGTAATACTACTTTATATTATTACTCTTTTGAAACACGCAAAATAGGTTAGATATTGTTGTATTTTCTTCACAAACAAGCCGCCTAACTTACCCCACTACTCACCAACCAACAAAACTCGAAATAACGAAAAAAAAAATACAAAAAACGAGAAACTTCACTTCACTATAACAAGAGCAAAAAAACTTGGTGGGAGCCTTTTACCCATCCCGAATAAAATTGTATGTGGTGTGAATCTAAAATAATTAAGTTTTAATATGGATAGCATACACTCGATGAATATAAGAAGAGGAAATCTTGATAGAAAGCACTTTCTTCATTCTGAATGGGGTGTTATGTGGCACAAATATAAAATAATTGGGCTTTAATGCGGATATCCGACATCGGACATCGGATGGGTATAAGAAGAGAAAACCTTGGTAGAGAGCGCTTTTCCATCACAATGTTGTTACGTGATGCAAATCTGAAGTAGTCGGGCTTCAATGCAGGTATTGAACACTAAATGATTTTTTTAAAAAAAAAAAATTCAAGAACGGCTCAATCCCGTTCAAAATTATTGAAAATTTAGCATCTAAAAATTGATGTTTCACAACAGAATGAAAAAGATATTCAATTTTTGACACATTCCTAATTTTATGGCATTTATGTCAATCTAAAAAAAATTAAGATTATTTTAGTCAAGACACCTTTTTTATAAATAATCATTAAAAAAATTATTTTATTATATCAACACTAATAAACCATTTTTTACAATAAAAATTACCTAACTTCATTTACGTATCACTAAATGATCCAATCCATTTGAATTTTACATTGAATGGTTATTTTTTTTAAAAAAACACGTATGATCTTTCATTTAAGGCAGTTGACCCACTTAAGCTGATTTTTTTTCTTTTATAATATAGTTTCGAGTTTGAATTAATTACTCTAACTATTGATTATTCAATTCGTTATTTCAATCATTTAGAGTTTAGGCACTACTTTATTTACATTATTTAGAGGACTAATATACTTTGAAATTTGGATTAATTACGTTTTGTGACCTCATTCAAATCAATTCAACTGATTGACGTAATATATAATCAAATTTCAGGCTAAATAATTTAACGTTAATAATTTTAAGGACCTACAGAGTCACAAGCATCCAAGCTAAGGAGGCTTTTAGAAGCAAAGTAAGACGTATGACGTTTAAAATCGAATTGAAATCAATAATTTGAATTAATTTATCGGTAATGGGTTATTGGTTTAATAGTTTTGATTTTTTTATTATCAGATTATCGGTTTTTAATGGTTTGAGCTTTTTCTTAACGGACTAACCGATAACGCGATAGTAAATTAATAAATTATGTTTATACCATTAGGTATATAAAGTCCTTGACTTATGATTCAGTTTCATATTTTTATTTCTGGCAGTATCAAACTTTCGGTTATTCAATAATGTATTAGTGTTGTTTTTGAGCAAGATACAATCTACCAGCTCATGTGCATGGTTTATTTAAGTATAAATTATAGGAACCACATATTATAAGTACTAAATAACATCCTATCCCTTCTAGTTTTCTATTTACCAAAAGTCCCTTAAAAATGATGTTTGCGGGATACATAACGTTGTGCACAGGATACATTAGGTTTGATACATTTCACATAGCGGGATACATAGCGTTGTGCACGGGATACATAGCATTTGATACATTCCACATGGCGGGATACATAGCGTTGTGCACGGGATACATAGGTAAATAAGGGATTTTTGAAATTTATGAAATAAGTAGGGATAAAAGGATATTAAGGTAAGTAAAGGAGTGTAGTTAAGTAATTTGTCCTTTATTTAATTTGTCAGTCATCATGTTTCTAAGTCATTTTCAATCATTTATTTTTTGCGTCAAATTTTAATGGTTAAACTGATAACCGATAAGTCAATATCTTAATGGTTCTTAACGGTTTCACATGTCTATAAATAGATAACCGATAAACTTCTAAATTGAATGGAACCGACCAATACACAATCCTAGTAAGACATGTGTGTTTATTTGTTCAATTTTATACATGACACCCCTTAGGTGTTACTAGATCCGCCCTTGTGTCCTATGTAACATTTTATGTGGATTATTCCATGTAAGACGTGTGTATTTACTTGTTTAATTTTATACAAGTTTAATGTCTACTTGTGCATACCCAAAATTAGAGAACATAAATATCAGCTAAAGTCAAATTAGAAGACACATTTATATATTATGTCATAAAAAAGATTGTTGATTAGATTTTTTTAATTAAAAAATAGGAACAAAAAGTATTGGGTTGTGAGGAAAGCATCGTGTCATATGACAATTGCAAATCTAAATGACTTCCATCATTATTTCTACTTGATCCCTCTTCACACGTACGCAACTATATATTATTTATTATATATTGCTACGCAATTTTGTGATTGCTTCTCACTTCTCATCATATCATCATCTCCACTACATTTTACTGCAACAATAATTTATACTCTAATCCGATCCCCTTTTTAAAATTTATGTTTATGAAATTTGATTCGATATAAAATTTAACATGTAATATTAATATATCATGTTTCGATTTTTTATTCTCGAATAAGATTGAATCTAAGATTAATACTTAATTTACATTTTATGGATCGAAAGAAAGATATGGCAATCAGTGGAAGACTATCAATGTCTCTTTAATATTTTTATGATTGCAAAAATATGCATATTGAAATAAACTGAAAAACTTAAATTATATTGGTTACAAATAAATTACAAAAGCGTCTCTCTTTTTAAAAAAAATAAAAAAGTATGGTACATAAAATGAAACAAAACCAGTATAATTTATGGAAATGATAAACGGCTCGTTCCATGGTTACTTTCATTTGAATTCTATATATAATAATAATAAAAAAAATAATAGAAACTTACGTGCAACATGATAAGATGCAGCAGTCTCTTCCATGCATGATGCAAGATTATTTGTGAATTATTATAATGTATAGTACTCCAACATTATATATATATTCTATATATAATAAGCCACAATGCAACTATGATTGTAACTATCTTGTTAGCTTTCAACCAAAAGCTAACAAGATTTTTAGTTACATATTTATTATTTATTATTTAACTAAATAATAAATATGTCATTTCTATATATATTTTTCTATTACTATATATAATAAGTGGGAATATCACAAGTGTTACATGTCTTAGATAGTGTTGTACATTCTTCTTTTATGGTTATACCTCTAAAATTTATATTATTGGACAATTTAACACCATTAATCACAATAATTAATAACTTATATATATATATTGGTAAAAAGAGAAGAAAACGTGGAATGCAAACTTTGCAAAAACGACTAATATTAATGATTTACTACTCCTACTAAAGCAACACTTCCTAGTTATTATTGATCTTTAGTGAATCTACGTTGCTTTCAATCGATTTCTATGAAGATTTTAGACTTTTGGTATAAGTTATATCAATGTTAATTAGGACACTTTTTTGTTTCCCATCTATTTTTCAACTCACTATAATATAATATAATTTGTGTCAATTTATATAGGGTTTTCAACTACAAGAAATATAAGAATTAGCGATGACGGATGAAAAATCTCATGCTAATCTCATAGCTACAGATTATATGCATAATGACCACGCTACGTGCATTGAATAGTCCTTGTTTTACTCAAATTGTTTTATTTTATATATTTAATTTTTTTAATGTTTAAAACTTTAAATTAATTAAATTTTTAATATTAAGTTCTTCATTATTTTTAAATTATAATAAAAAATTTAATATTTAAGACTTTAAATTCAATTAAATTTTTGTCTTCTATGACTAATAATTTAGAAAATATGTTTTTGTGGACTATGATAGCGCTACATTACTTTGAATTGTCGTAACAAAATCCAAAAGGTCATGTAAAAGTATGTACTTATCTACAAACTAGCATGTGTACGTGTCTACGCATATTTTAATAGAATAATTATAGTTCAATTTCTTTGGGTGATTTATAACTGGTAAATATCTGATTTTATGTATTTATGTATAATATAATATAAACATAATATACATAATCAATATATAGATTTTTTACATTTCCAGATATATTAATTACTCCTTTCGTCCTAATTTATGTGACACATTTCAAATTTCGAGATTCAAACAAGTCTATCTTTAACTGTAAATTTTCAATATATTTTAAAATTATTTTGGACTATTAATTATTGTGACTTATATTACTTTTTACGTAGTATACAAATATATATTTCAAAAAAATTGATTTCATGCGTAAATTTCCAATTAAACTTAACTCTCGAAAAATGAAATATGTTATATAAATTGGGACCGAGGGAGTAACAAATAAGTTTGGCCTGCTCATGTTGATAAGTTTCTCTATTTAAAATAGATTAATTATGAGTATTATATTAGTCTCTCACGTGATTGATATTGTAAAACGATGCATGCGTAATGCGTTGTTATTGTAATCCATCTAATTAGAGTTTTAAGTCATGATTAAATATAATTCACCAATATATTGTGGCTAGCTAGCCTCAATTAGTGGAAAATCTTTTGATTTTGACCACCATTTTGTCCATTTACACTAATACTAGTTCTAATTAAATGAATAAATTACAAGTTGCGAATATGTAATTTATATATAACTAATTGACCACGTCCAAGTCGACGGGAAACTAAAAGCTAATTAAACTACGTCGATAATTACTTTATTTTCTCATGTTTTAAACACTATATATTGTATACAACTTGTATTAATGTAAACAAATTGTTTTTTTGGTTATAAATAGTCAGAAATATGTAACTAGCTTTGAGAATTATACTATATATCACTTGGATTATTATCAAACTCCAGGCCGTCTTGGGATAATTAATTAATTATCAAGGATATATTTAAAAGAGTTCTTCTAAGCTAAATATTGGTTTTTGCGTAAGCAAGTATACAAATTTGCTTTAATTAGATTCATCATCACATAGTGATTAATTTATACGTTTCATTTGATGAATAGTTGACTTCACTAATTACTGTATTAAAGATTAATCCAAATTTTGTTAAGTAAAAGGTTCTAAAGATGAGACTGCTGAAATAAATAATTCACCCATAATTGTTTATAATTATCGTTAATGTATATCTAATGTATAACAAAAGGATATTAAGTGTATACTTTGATGTAAAATATATACATATACTATTTGTCACGATTCAAAAATACATGTGGTGCTGGCATTTATATTTTCAATCAATCGGTAAGCCAACTCAATTAGTTTACTGATTCAACTTAATAAATAAATGGAAAGGCCATGAAAGGTCAATAGTACCTGTAGTCTCCGTTTTCAACTTGCGGCTTCCACTAACTTATTCTAATATATGGATCAAGTGGCGTAAGATATCAAATAAATTATGGACTTAATCTATTAATTATTAATTAAATTAATTAAGATAAATTTTCGCAAACAATCACTAAAATAAACTTAATTATACTCCATAATTATAGTTTGTATATTTACGGGCTGTAGCTACAATTTAAGTTGTCTCATTTGTATAATTCGCAGGTGAGTTTTTGTATAATTGAGTTATTTTTGTAGAAACTCAAAGTAACGAATTTATACAAACACATACATCTGAACTTTAAACAGTTATACAAATTATATTATACAAATTTTGAATTATATAAAATCGAAACCTCAGCCCACATAATTATCACTTGAATATTGATCGCGAGTGGTAATTAACTAATACTATAGCTATGATAACTAATTAACTAGTATATATTTGCTTAACCATGTAATTTAATTTTTTTAAAAATCATAACAATAGTTGATGAATAATTTAAAATTTCCATTTAAATTTTTCAGAAAAAATTCTTTAAAAAAAATTCTTGGAGTTCAAAACGACCTAACCAATCGTTACATTATTATTAATAATGATTGTACTAGCTAAAATTTGGTTTGAATTTGAATATTATTAAGCTATTCAAGTGAAAAGGTAGTAAACTTGGGCCATTGCACATGGTATGTAGCAAAGTGATTTGGGCTCGAAAAGTAGTTCTTCCATCAAATACAAGAAAACAGGTGAGGATGGAGAGATATTGGCACTTGTGCGCTTATTTTGTGTTGATCTTTAACTTGTGCTCTTGTTATAATAAAAAGTTATGTCGGACATAAATATTATATATTCAAATTATAATATTCTCCTAGTAATGTTTATATGACTTTAGTTTTTAAGTTCTCATTTGATCATAGATTTCAAAATTGTATTTAGACATATATTGTGATGGTTTAGAGGTTGGTTTTTTACCATTAACTCTAAGTTAGTAATTATTATTTTCATCGAGTTACTAATTAATTACCTATAACTAGTGATTTTGATAGTGTAATTTCTTTATGCACAAAGATTAATGTATCAAAAAACTCTTTATAGGTTCCAAGAAAAGTGCATTATGCAACAATTAAACCCACTATTAATTCAAATCCAGCTTTTTCATTCAGACTTTTTCATTGATAAATCATTGTACAGTAGACAGATTTGCATATTAGCATTCAAATAAGAAATGATTACCTACTATGACTTTCCCTACCATTAGGAAGGTCCAACTATAAAATTCCAAAGAATGGAATTGGTGTTAGCTATGGCTGGACCAATCCTAACAAGACTTGCATCAGCTTTTCTACTAACTATTTTTTTTTTTTATATCCACTATGTTCGGTACTCGTATTAAATTTCGACTATTCTGGAATCACACCTCATATGACCCTATTTGAAGAAAAGAACTTTCTATCAAAGATTTTTTCATATTCAAAGTTCGAATCTGAGACATCTGATTAAGAGAAGGACAAATTTACTACATCTTTTAGTAATTTTGTACTAACTACTTGTAGTAGCAGCAGTTGATGTTTTTGACTTTTTTTTACTGTGCATACCTAATTTATTTCATGAATATCTGCCTCCTCTAATTAATAAAATAATACCACAAAATCTAGGTAATTCTAAACAAAAAATTATTCAAGATACTGGAATGATCATTTCAATTTGGAATGTAAAATAAAAAATTGTTGTATTTAAGTTAATATGACTTAGACTTATATATTTGCACATTTGGGTTAATCTATGGGCATGCTACCTTTCGTCAACATACATATAATTTAAGCTTATCTATGCGTTTGGTAAACATAGAAAATACTCATTTTATTTTAATTTGTTTGCCCTAAGTATTTTTTTATACTCCCCTTAAAAAAAACTTTTTTTTGGCTTAATGTCAATTTTTCAAATCTATGACCACAAGATTTAAGGATATTTAATACATTCTATATATCTTTAATTTAAAAATATATGATTCAAAAATATTCTTTACCATTTTAAATATGTGTCAAGTTAAATAAGACAATGAAATTAATATGACCCGAAAATCATAAATTGATCAGCCTGGACTTGTGATTTTCATATGAGTACTTTAAATTAATTTTATTTAGTACTCAAAATATTTTTCCTAAAACAAAACCCGTTTAACTTCTTTTCCATTTCATATATGTCACCTTTTCTTTACAGATATGCTTTCATACTTGTAACTTTTTCTTAAGAATTTAAGAACATTTCTACTTATCACTCCTTATTTGTCAACCACAACTACACATTACTAATATCAAAACTTCAATTACAATAACAAATTTAGTGTAATCTCACAATTGAAATTTGAGAAAGGTAAAATATACATAGTCGTGTCCCTACTTTTATAGGACAGGGGACTATTTCCGATTGACCCTCTACAACTTTCCTCAGAGTTAATATCAAAACTTCAATTGCTTAACCAAAAGTAGGTGTTCTTGACTTTTAATCCCTTTTGAAAATGTTGACTAAACAGTTTACATAAAAATAAGACCCTCTTTTCCTATGAGAGACAGAATATATCTCAAATCTCAACCTTTCAACTCATTTCCCAGAAGCACACAATTTCTAGAACCCAAAAACTACAAAATCTTGGCTGCCTTCCAGATATGAATATTCTTCACTTATTTGCATTAAAATAATATTACTTTATACTAATGAAAATGGTAGATGATTAATCTCCAACACAACAATTTGTGCTTACATGTTTCATAAGTATTATGTGTATTGATTACCGACAGCTGAATAAATCTTGTTTCTTCATCTCGTAATCATGTTCCCTTTTCTTCGTCTCTTCCTGTTTCTTTGCCTTTCGTTTTCTTCTTGTTTTGGACAAATTACCAATTCTTCTTCATGTCCTCTCGATTTCAGTTCACTTCGCAAAATCATAGATCAAAATTCAAAAAGACCCACTTTGAATTCCACAGCGCAGTGTCAGTACATTCGTCAGGGTTTACGTCTAGTTCAATCGGAGTATCTCCGCCGTACCAACTCTTTCTTCCCCCCCCTGAGTTCCGCCGATTCTTGCTGGAACTCTTATCAGTCTCTGGTCAACGATTATGTCCAAAACTTTGATATCCGGAGTTCTTGTGGGTTTCAAACATCTTGGATCTCTCAGGGTTGTATGAATATCACAACTCGTTCCGAGTTCGAGTCTAAGGTATCTCCAACTGCGATTACTAATATTGTTTCTTCGTGTAATCAGTCTTTAGAGAACAATTCCCCTTGTGCTACTTGTACTACTAGTTTATCTGGGCTTGCTTCGTATCTACCTGGTCCTTCTGTTGGAAATTTGTTCGATTGTGCGGCTTATCCTTCGGTTTATGCAGCTGCTTTTGCTAATCAGTTTGGACCTACTGATAAGGGTACTGCAAAATGTTTGTTTCTTCTTGATGTTAGTGTTGGTAGCTCAGGGAAAAGTAAGAAGAATGTGGTTGTTATTGTGGTGGTGGTAGTTTGTGTGTTGGTTTTCGCACTCGTTGTGTTTGGTTATTGGTTTCTGTGGAGGAAGAGGAAAATTGGGTTAGCTAAAAAGTGGAATACTAAGAGATTGGAGAGTAATTTGAGTTCTCGTCTGGATTCGATTAGTGGAAGTACTACTTTGATTAGGTATGATTTTGATGAGATTAAGGCGGCTACGAAGAATTTCTCTAGGGTGAATATAGTTGGGACAGGAGGGTATGGGAATGTGTATAAGGGTGTGTTGCCTGGTGGGATTGAAGTAGCTTTGAAGAGGTTCAAGAATTGTTCGGTTGCTGGAGATGCGAATTTCACACATGAAGTGGAGGTTATTGCTAGTGTTAGGCATGTGAATTTGGTGGCTTTGAGAGGGTACTGCACTGCGACAACCCCTTTTGAGGGTCACCAAAGGATCATTGTTTGTGATTTGATGAAGAATGGGAGTCTTCATGATCATTTGTTTGGGACGAGACATGAGAAATTGAGTTGGGGTATTAGGCAGAAAGTTGCAATTGGCACTGCTAGAGGATTGGCTTACCTGCATTATGGAGCACAACCTGGTATTATTCACAGGGATATTAAGGCTAGTAATATACTTTTAGATGAGAGTTTTGAACCTAAGGTGGCGGATTTTGGATTGGCAAAGTTCACTCCTGAAGGGATGACTCATTTGAGCACTCGTGTAGCAGGGACGATGGGGTATGTAGCACCTGAGTATGCTTTGTATGGCCAATTGACTGAAAGGAGCGATGTTTATAGCTTTGGAGTTGTGCTTCTTGAGCTTTTGAGTGGAAAGAAAGCAATAATGGAGTTTAAGGAGGGGCAGCCGACGCTTGTAACTGATTGGGCCTGGTCATTGGTTAGGGAAGGCAGAGCATTAGATGTTCTTGAAGACAGCATTCCGCATTTGGGGCCACCAGAAGTTATGGAGAAGTATGTATTGGTAGCTGTTCTTTGTTCACATCCACAGTTGTACGCGAGGCCAACAATGGACCAGGTTGTGAACATGTTGGACGCTGAGATACCTGTTCCAACCATACCGGAGAGACCAATTTCTCTCATTGCTGATCTTGATGACATTGAAAGGTCTGTTAGCAGTAGTGGTAACTCAGGTAATCTGTCCACAGCTGCAGGCTATCAGGCTTACATATTTGAGCGCGAGACACCTCTGGCAGATAGTGATTCTGTCAGAGCAAGAACATTGGATCACAGATCGCGATAGAGCTTTACAGTATCATTTTGATCTGCCTGCCTTGATTGACATTCTATGAGTTGTGATGAATAGCTTATTCATTGGTTTATTTGCCTCAAATTTGTTTCTGATATAGGAACCTGAACACTAACACAAATTGTACAGTGACTATGTATGTGTACTCGACTTTTGATTCTTATGTAATACTCCAGTTAGGATGAATAAAACATGATGTTTTGTACACAACTTGCTCTCTCAATATTCCTTGTTTTACGTAATGCCTTTGATTACTTTCAACTCACTATCACATATGTTTCATTTATTGCTTTCTAACAATAGAGTAACAGCAGGTTGCGAAGGCCATAGTAGGAATAACATGTGAAATATCAAAGAGGCAATCTCCATGATATTGAAGCAGAGTTCGACTCTGCTCCATATTAGGTTGAAGTAGTAAAAGGAACGGGTCACGACTCTGTTTCTTCAGCCACAACAATCATGATGGATGAAGCAAGAACTACATCACCTCTATAGCTAGCATTCGTCTAATGGTAAATTACATCCTCCCTTCCACACGATCTAGTTTGTTCAGTGGTAAGGTTTCACTTATTTACATTGTCAGTGCTTAGACTTAATGGATATGGAGCATTCTTCAATACTAGCTAAAGAGCAAGAGGACTCTTCAATTGTCCCTTGCTTTACCAAGACTAAAGATACTAATATTTTGTAATGCATTTGATTTCCTTAAACTAACTGACCTGCAACTATATAGGTCTCATTTGTTGTTTCTCAAGAATAGGCTTCACAATAAGGGTAAAAGTCCGTGTTAATAAAGCGTGAAACTTCAAAAAGAAAACATTACCCTCTTTGCACTGTCAGTGAATGAGATTCAATTGAGTCCCTTTATCAAAAGTAGCTATGTCCTTGCATTGGTCTGCGTCTTCTTGTCTATAGCTGGTGGTATAGAAGGTTCTTGGTACGACGATATTTTATGATAGTAGTTAACTCATATACATTGATAGTGAATAGATTTTTTACACTATCAATGTAGTTCAACTGATTGTAACATGTTGCTAACTTTTACACAATTACATTACACTATCAATGCGTAAAGTTGAAACATTTGGTACTGATAAACCATGATTCTGGTAATTGTAAATTTGTAATGTGGTAACTCCTACATTACGGATATGGAAGATTTAGATGGGTTGGATAGGGCGAGTCAAAACGGATTTCGTTATTATTTTTCATACGTATAAAAGATCATAGTAATTCATCATTTATATTACTTAAAGCGATTTAGAAAAAATATTTTATTAGGAAATTAATGTGTTTAAAAAGAAAAAAGAAACAATATGTTTATTGGGAGAATGAACAACTTTTACCAAAAGTAACAATAGGGACATTTTTGGATCAAACTATTAACATAATACATTTTTACTAAATTTTACATAATTTAAAAGCATTTTTGACCCTTTTCCGTATAAAAAAAACTATATCAAAGCATTGGATGCTGGACAAGCAGAGTACCTCACATGGTGTTACATATGCAGTAAAAATGACAAACGAGGCTATAGAAAATTAGCAATGTGCAGCGATTCTACTAGAATTGATTTTCCATCCGATGTCTAGACGGGCCTATTTGTGGATGACACTCTCAATAGACTGTTTTTCAAAATCAGAACTCAAACTCTGGACGGGCCTATTTGTGGATGACACTCTCAATAGACTGTTTTTCAAAATCAGAACTCAAACTCGAGACTTTAATTAAGGGTGACACAAACACATACATGTTAATTTTAGCACATGATTTAAATCTTAGAATAGAGGATTAACAGAGACAAATGGGTTCCAATCCCATGTTATTAATAACGACATGCCTTATTGCTATTATAATAAGACCGATCGAATCTGACAGTACTTGGCATAAATTATGTTCATCCTAATTGGGGGTTTGTAGCTATTCTTTTCCACACAACTTTTATAATTGAACATATGCTTATACTAAAGTTTTTATTACAAGTCGTTTGGTAAGGTGAGATGAAATTATGATATGAAATGAAATTAAAGTTTTGTTTGGTCACGCAATTTGATTTTTTAAGTTGTATGTTTTTTTTTCATAAATAATAAATCTCGTAATTTGTGAAAACTATCAAAATTGTTCCAATTCATTATACAATTTTCTTATCAAATAAGCAAAAATTTATAACAAAAGTATAATACACTATCACAAAATTATTCTAAAAAGATACAACATTTATTGATTGAACTTAAATTCAATAAAAAAGTAAAATTAAACATGAGTTGTTGTAGTATACGACTCTGGTTGAAGTAATAATAAATTTGGTTGGTGACAGTAATAGTTATGTTCGATATAAATGATTTAAAGGTTTATAAAAGTAATACCATCAACTATAAATTTTGATTATTTATAAAATAAATGATTGATAGTTATAAAATGGCGGGTTATTTTACATAAATTTGTGATTCAATTATCATGTGAAATCATGATATAAAATTCACAAATCAAACTTTTTGAAAAATTTAAAATTTCATATAACGATTTGAAATCGCATGTCAATTCCTAACTAATTGGTACTGGTCATGTGAAAGCTCAATATGGACGTTCTATGTGGGTTCAGTTCATTCAAATAATTAATAATATGTCCTTATTTGACATAAACATTTCAAACTTCTTATATTCAAATAGGACCAGATGAATATATGTACAACAACTACCTTCCACTTGCAAGACAACTCATTCACAATGACAGGATATCAGTGTTTTAAAAGACGGAGACGTAAATTTAATACTTTATCATAAGTAAAACATAAATATTCATATAAAATGCGCATATTCTACATTCACTTGATTTGATATAAATACTGAATATATCGTTCTCCTTATACTATCTGATACCTAACTGTCCTAATCAAACAAAATTTCAAAAAAAGGGCCTAAGTTGGCTAATCAAAATTGAACTTGATCTGTGTCAATGTCATAATGCAAGTTATCTTCTTCTTTTTTTCCACAAGTATAATATTGAAGCATTTTTCACACAGATGATGTCTTAAAACGCCAAAAAGATTGGATCAATGACCTCTCCTGTATTGGAACTACTTAAAATTAAGATGCCTACCCACCACACCAAAAATATTTTAGCGGAAATTAATTAATGCCAATAGCTTGTATTTTTAGTGGCAATTTACAAATCGCTAAAGTCTATAGCAACATTAGATCTAAAGACAATTAACTAACTCTTTGTTAATATGCATATTTATTACTGATAAAATTGTTTTTATTGTAATGGCAGATGCTAAAGTATCTTGAATTGGAAATTTCCATTTTAAATTGCCATATGCAGAATAGCCCCAAAAACATACTGCTCAGCTAATCTTGTCCTTTTCTCTACCTACCTATGTTTCTTTCTCTATTCAGTGTTTATGCGTCTCGATGCTAAGCTAATTTGACTCTGTGTTTGGTATTCATCTCGAGGCTAAGCTAAATTTTTTTTTTAATCAAAGACATCGTCTCTATTGATCATTTATGTGCATAAGCTAATTTGAACTCGATGTTTGATATTCGTCTCGAGACTAAGCTAATTTGAATTTGCATTAAAAAAAATTCCATTTTGAAGATTTGATCACTACTAAAGATGTGTGTCTATGTATCCTAGCAGCTTAGGATAAGGAGCAGTGTATTTTGTTAAGATATTTAGCACAGCATTAAATGAAAAGACAAATGAGCTGTATAGACAAAGAATATACCTTCGGTTATAAGTGAATAATAATTAGGACAAATTTATTTTATAGGGCATTATACATCAGTTGAAAAAAGAAAAATCATTAAGAAAGGGGATAAACAGTAGGTCACTGTCAGAAAAGAGTCAAGTGTGGACCAAATACAGAGAAATTGACAAATTTGAATCTAAATTTTAAACATCATGAATTTTGAATTGAAGAGTAATTCACAAATTGGACATTCAGTTTAAGTCATACTTGTTTCTTTCACATACAAAGTAAGAATTTTGCACAAATAACAATAGTTTGAGCCCTAATTATCAAACATAGCGAGAATTTTTTAAATTTACCCAATATCACTAATACAATACAAATTTCAGAAACTATTATTTGTATTATATATAGCGAATATCATAAATTATCGCTATCTTTATTAACTTTTTAGAACTCTTGCTATATTAGGTAAATATAATGTATAAATTTATCTGATTAGATAATTATCCCTGCAAAATAATTTTAAAACTCTGTATTCTACCTAACACACATATATATTCCTCATTTGAATCCGCCCCTATTTCCTAATTAGAAAATTACTAATTACGTTTTGTTGCTTTAATCAGTTTAATTTCACACGTCTCTGCCAAGTCATTATATGATGTAGATCTAATTAAACTTTAGAAAATTAAATTAAATACTAAAAATGAACCATTTGTAAAAATTTCCACAAGCATATAAAGTACGCATATGATGCTCATCCATAAACTCCCTCTTTTTCTTGATTGCCTCTAAAAATATCTTCTTACTTTTCTATAGTTTTAAGGCAAATACCAAAGAAAAAATAAAATGAAGGAAGATATAGAGCAAAGTGAGAATAGAGTAAATGAAGAAATAAGAACTCCTCTTATAATTCAAACAAATAAAAGTTTAAAAGAAGAAAAGGTTGAAAATGGATGTTATGAGAAGAAACAAGATAGGTGCATGGTTTACCTTAGCACATTTGTGGCTGTTTGTGGTTCATTTGCATTTGGATCTTGTGTAAGTTCATCAGATAGTCACTCAACTAATAGTTATGTTTTCTTCTTGATTTCAATAAAGAAAAATGACTTTCTGAGATAATAAACGCTCTGTTAGTTTAGTTGAGTTATCATCTGAGAAATCTTATTATTGATTGTTGTTAGCGTGTATAACTTAAATCTTTCTTTTTTCCGCTTTTCAGGCTGGATATTCATCACCAATACAATCCGCCATCAGAGAGGATCTTAACTTATCTATAGCAGAGGTTAGATATAGAGAAAAGATATACTTCTAATCTGTTTGTTTTACTTTCCTTTTTAGTTCGTTTAGAAATATATATATATATATTCCTTTTTTTGGAATTTTTTTAATTTTAACTTTCCATGTGGCATGTTTAAAACTACAAAATTAATGGACATAGTTTAGGACCATAAGATTGACGCTTAAACTTCGTGTCAGGTTAAAACAATCCATAATAAGTGAGATTAGTAACTAGGAAAATAAGGCAGGTAATATGCTATAATAGTGTAAGAATTCGTATAGTGTCAGTGTATATAAGTTAAATCCTTCACTCGTTCACTTCGTTAGGTGAGCATTTTCTAGTTAATCAAATCAAGAGTGCTCAACTCACCTGCAATCAGCCTGAAGTACTTTGGCTGATCAAACGATAAATGAACTAGTATTATAATGAAGTATTTGTACTGGTATTAAAACACTAACATGATGTCAAGAATCTACATTGATTAGAATTCTCCCGTTCTTAATGGAATATCGATCTTGTTGGAGAATTTTTTGGCATTCTTAACCTGTGCTTTTGTATTGGACTATACATTGAATGTGCTTAGCATTTTTCCAATACAGTTCTCACTCTTTGGTTCAATATTGACATTTGGTGCAATGATTGGAGCAATCACAAGTGGTCCAATCGCTGATTATATTGGTCGTAAAGGGGTAAGCTGAAGAAAATCCTTACACCAGTATCAACGTTCACATATCGTCTTTATACAGCCTGATAAGTATGTATGTATGCATGTAACACACAAACAGGCAATGAGAATGTCAAGTGGTTTCTGTGTTGCTGGATGGTTAGCTATTTACTTTGCTCAGGTTTACTACAAGCTCTCTTATCATATTCGTGACAGAGGAATTGCTTTGTAGGTCTTATGAACTGATATAATTATTTTTTGACTTCTTCAAGGGAGCACTTGCTCTGGACATTGGAAGATTGGCAACAGGATATGGAATGGGAGTTTTCTCTTATGTGGTACGTTGATCGGTTGTTTTATCAAAATATCCAACAATAGTTATGTTTTCAACCTTCTTGATTCCGACATTTCCCTTTGGACAACAACAACTCAGGTGCCGGTATTTATTGCTGAAATTGCACCTAAAGATTTACGAGGAGCTTTGACAACCATAAACCAGGTAAAGAATAAAACTTGCTATCTGTATTTTTTCAATCGTTTATCAAGTAGTCTATATCACCATTTCTTTAGCTGAGATAACTTGAAAACAATGTGGTTATTTCAGTCTTCGATAAAATGAGGAAGAAACATACTATACTTCTATAGGGTATGGAGGAGATATTGTTGTGGTAGGCTCTTGTTTATCTTACCGTTGACTGTTTGTTACGTCTAAACCTCCAGCTGATGATATGTTGTGGAGTCTCAGTTTCCTTCATTATAGGAACTATGATGACATGGAGAACGTTGGCGTTAACAGGTTTGTCATAGCATCAAGTTGTATACAACCACAATGAACAATGTATTCAAGTGATCGATAAGAGTTTGTTTTTCTTTTTCCAGGATTGATTCCATGTGCTATTCTCATTTTCGGTCTCTTTATCATTCCAGAGTCGCCTAGGTGGTTGGTGAGTTACAAAGACGAATATTTAATAGTTCATACTGTCAGTAAGATCAAGAAAATGACATTAACATTTCCATTATATCTGATAGGCAAAAATAGGGCATCAAAAGGAGTTTGAACTTGCACTCAGTAAACTTCGAGGCAAAGATGCTGATATATCTGAGGAGGCAGCTGAAATCAAGGTTCATTATTCTCGAAAACTCAAATTTCAATTTCTTTCATTCTTCGGAGTTCATCTAAGACTTCCTGATCTGTCTGTGACAGGATTATATAGAAACACTTGAAAAGCTTCCGAAAGTCAACTTGTTTGATTTGTTTCAAAGAAGATACTCGAGCTCACTCATAGTAAAGTTCCTTTCCTATACATTGTTTTTTCAACATTTTGGTAGCTGAAACTGTTGGTTAATTTATATTTATGGTAAACCTATGGACAGGTGGGAGTTGGACTTATGGTGTTTCAACAGTTTGGTGGAATCAATGGAATCTGTTTCTACACCGGTAGCATATTTGAGTCCTCAGGTAGCATTCCCTCATTGTCAAATATCATTTTACACTCGCGAAAAGAAACACAGGATATTCAATATTGTAATAATGCTTAGAACTTGAAACTTCACTAACCATTTGTATTTCTTTTCCAGGGTTCCCCTCTGACATCGGAACTATAATCTATGCAATTATTCAGGTTTCGACTCTTACTCTCTCAGTTCAATGAATGCTAGATATCTCCATCCTAACATTTGGTATTATAACGGATAATTCACTTTACTTTATTTTCTTCATCAGGTTCCCATCACCGCGTTGGGTGCAGCCTTAATTGACAGAGCTGGAAGAAAACCTCTTTTATTGGTATATCTCAGAAAAGAAAGCCATTTTCTTGAGGATATTACACGTTGCATTCATGGTATATAATGATAGCGATATCCTTGCAGGTTTCAGGAACAGGACTTGTCATAGGCTGTGTACTAACAGGAGTCTCATTCTATCTAAAGGTCAACATCATAACCAAAACTGCTTAATATTCTTATTATATCTAGAAAACACTTTGACAAAAAAGTTGAATTGTTTGAACCAGGGACATGACATTGCAATAAAGGTAGCACCGATACTTGCTGTAACAGGCATACTGGTACCATCACTATCCTTTCTAAAATTGTCCCCTGCATAGCTTACCCTGACCCCAACCCTCCCTCATTCCAGTTTATCTAATACTTGTTCTCAAACGCCAGGTCTATATCGGTTCCTTTTCAGTAGGAATGGGAGCAGTTCCTTGGGTTGTGATGTCAGAGGTATGTAAATCTATACCATCCTGAACATTCTGGAGACATTTTTATGCCTAAGAAACGCCTTTCGTGCAGATATATCCTATAAATATTAAAGGTGCTGCTGGGAGCCTTGCAACATTAGTGAATTGGTTTGGAGCATGGGCGTGCTCCTACACTTTCAACTTCCTCATGACCTGGAATTCTTTTGGTAATTAAGCAGTCGTCATTCACAAATATCATACATCAAAGATATATATGAGATATTTCAACTCACATTAGTTAATTTTCACTGTTTTTCAGGTACTTTCATTCTGTATGCTGCAGTGAATGCACTTTCCATTTTATTTGTGATAAAGATAGTACCTGAAACCAAAGGAAGAACTTTGGAACAAATCCAGGCTGCTATTAATGCATCATAAAATTACCTTAGCAGTTAGCACCTTGATCGATTCATCTTTCGTACTGAAATTTACTTCATCAGAGAGAGTCGACAGAATTCGTGCTGTCGTTTGAAACTACATTCTGATTCTCATCCTCAAATTTAAGACATTTGAGTGTTTGTTGTATCATGGATCACATTCTCCAAATTTTTTTAGGTATGAACACTGTAACTCATGAAGGAAAATAGTAGAATGATCACCTGTTCCAGTATTATTATTTTTTGTTCTCTTTAAACTGTGGGAAGAACTAAGCATCATTCAGTTAGTAAAGAAAAGCTTTTCTCATGTTGTGGGATCACATATTTTCATTTGTTCTCATTGATTTATCTCGAGAATTTTAAAGTTAAGTTACTTTTAAGAAGAAAAGTGACATTCTTGCGAGTAAAAAAAAAAGGACATATATATCGCATAAATTGAGACTGAAAGAATAATATGTATTTATTTTGTTAGGGATCGTTGGGCACACCAATGGGGATCTTAATGAATTCAGTCTTATTCAGTAGGACACACATTATGCATCAAATAAAATTACAGTTAACTATATAAAACTAAATGAAACGAAACAAAAGAAATCTGCCAAAAGCTTTTAGCCTGTTGGTTAAAATTCTTAAATGGATCAAGTAACCAAAGAAAATTAAAGGAAAAGGGACATCAAATGCAAATTCTCCATACAATGCACCTCACCAATTACGTACGCAGTCATTCGATATTTACATTAAATCATTTTTTTTAATAGTTTATAATTAAGTAATATATACACTTTCATCATATCTTCCATTTCATGTTTTAAAAATAATACTTAATTAAATTCGCGTCAAAAAAGAATTCAACTTCATTTTTATATTACCAACATTATTTTATAGCCATTTCAAATCTCATAACATAAAACCACAAATTCCAAAAATCCTATCTTTTTTCAAATTCCATCTTTAATCAAACAAATCCACACAAAATAAAATACAAAACATACTATTCTTACCTCACTATATTACTTACTTATTCTAAATCGATATATTTTCCCATAAACAAAATAAAATCATTCATCTAAAAGAAACAAGATCACCACAAACTTGTTTAACAAAATTTTTATTTCTGCATGACACACACATTTATTTATTAATTCTTCATGCAAAATCCATACTACGTGATAGAAGAAAATAACTAAACTACCCTCACTATCAATCTATCACTATAACTGTCATTTCAAGATTCATCTTCTTCTACTATTCTTGAATTATTATCAAAATTCCTCCGTACCAGAAGAAGACGAATCTTTTTTTCCATCGATAAACTTTATTCTCACACTTTCTTCACCTGGATGTATACGTTCAACAATAACCTCCGGGCGATTATTTTTCACCCTTGAAATCTGCAGCCGTCCATTTTCCCGCACTTTTTCTAGATCAAATCTTGGCCGTCCGTTCTCAAACAAACTTGATAAAAGTGGCGGGAAATCTCTAACTGCTACTGAACTAGTACATTTTGTATTTGATCTTCGTTCAGCTAATTCGTTGAAACTGCATTTTGATTTCTCATTGAAGCTCTCAAACCCTAGGCTTTCTGTAATTGTATCTAATGAAATGTTGAGTAGAGGCATATGATAATCATCAATGGGATATGACTCCATAGATTCGTACTTGTTTCTGTTCGTCATATTGAAGAACAGATTCTCTTTATTACAAGTAATTGATGCAATCTGATGAAGATTAATAGATCGATCGATGTTAAAAAAAATAAAGTGTTGAGTAGTTACGTAGTAATTTGTTGTTTTCCACGGGAATGACTTAGTATAATAGTATAGTCTTTGATAAAATAATTTTTTTTTGGAAACATATACTACTAGTTAATTAGTTAACATAGCTATAGTTTGTCTTAATTACAATTCGCGACCTACTTTTAGCTATAATTACGTAGCTCAGCTATTTAGTTTTTATAATTCACACGTTTGTATAATTCAGAATTTGTATAACTGTTTACACTTCTAATGTTTGTAACTTTATATTTCGTTATTTCGAGTTTATACAAAAATAACTGAATTATACAAATGTACCCGCAAATTATACAAACGAGGTAGCTTAAACTGTAGCTACAACCCGTTAATATGCAAACTATAGCTAGCATAATTAAGTTTATTATAATGACTATTTGCGAAAGTTCACCATTTTTTTTATTAATTTTGTTTGGTATTTAAAGAAATTAGAACTTAATTAGTGAGGGGATTAGGTTATGAACCATTTTTAGCTTATTTCATACCAAATACTCTTTTGAACAGGTTAATTACTTACCTGTTTATTTATTTAACTCATTTTAATTCACGCAAATTCAATTCATCCACTTGACTTATCAACCCTAGCTTACGGATCAAATTAATTGACAAACTCTTTGCATGTACAATTTTATTTGTTGATCAATTGCATAAACAAACTAAGATTGAACACAAAAAGACATTTGAAACGATATATATTCACCTATGTATATTGGGGATGTAAAAAAAAGAAGATAAATACTACTAAATAGTTACCATAAAGAAACATATATAGTTCCGATAATTTATTGACATGGTACGAGTCAAGCCTATGTATATTGGGGATGTAAAAAAAAGAAAGATAAATACTACTAAATAGTTACCATAAAGAAACATATATAGTTCCGATAATTTATTGACATGGTACTCCTACCCCGTAAAATAAAGGAAAAAGGTAATTGGCATTAAAAGAAATAATGTTGCTGCCCAGGATCGAACTGGGGACCTTTAGTGTGTAAGACTAACGTGATAACCACTACACCACAGCAACTTACATTTACTATACTTAATTGATTCGTACATAAACGCATTGTCATGATTAGGTGAGGATTATAATGTAATATGCAGGTTCACGTTTACTTAATAGTTTTTGCCCAGACCTTGTGTATATATTAAGAGATGGGATCATTTGATAGGGTGTATAAGAGTAGTGTTGAATAAGGTGTCTTAGTAATGCAGGTATAAGTTATGCCCGACATTAGTTATATAATGCATGTTATTTTTATATATTCCAAATCAAACACTGTGTAAGAATTTCAGCATAACTAATATACCATAGTCCATATTCAACACTATTCTTATACACTCTACCAAGCGACCCCTAAATGTACATAAATATTTGAGTTTCTATCCGTTATAATTGGTGTCTTAACTTGAGGTCGCTATAAGAACCTATAAACTTCAAATCTTGAATCAGCCTCAGGCGAGCTTAGCCTAAAGAAACAGAACAAATTCGTAAAGCTGGACCAGCATATTTAGCTCTTATAGTTAAGCTCAAACTGCTTTAGATATGTTGTTCAATTACAAGATCTGTCATATAAATTATGTCATCTATTCCTTTTGCATCTTGCTTTCTAAAGCAAGGTGTAATGAAGTGGAAACAACACTTTTCCCACCCTAAAAGATATCTTTCTTTACAAAGAAAGCATAAAGCCATACATCAATCACAATAATTAACAATCTGCCTATGTTTAATTTTCATGTGTCTATTTTCCATACACCCTTGTTTGGATTTGAATGAGTAATCCTCACTACTTTATGTTTTGAATCCCGCCTTTTCTTGTTGATGTATTCGTGAGGAACAGTATCTACTTTTACCAAATCAACTTTCACTATGTGGTGATCAGATGTTCCTTTCGAGGAGAAAACCGAGTATGATCCTGGAACAAACTTGTATGGTGAATCGGATGATGAAAGTACGTAATCCACTCGTGTTCCATACTTGCACGTTCCTTGCACGCCTGTACATATTTAACAAGATTTGAGCCAACAATACAAAACGATCATCATATAAATTGAAACAGAAGGAATATCTTACTCTGTCCTTTGGCAATCATGACAACAGACTCACATTCCCCAGCGAAATCCTTAGCATCTGTATATTCTTTACTCTTCAAATACTTCATTACTTCAAATTTTGGTATTGGCTTTCCCATCTCTTCATAATACTGCAAAACGACGATTCAAACAGAATGAGGAAAGAAGCAATATGTGATTTGATTTTCTTTTTTCAAATTGGGATTTATGCTGTATTTTACCTTTACAATTTCTGTCCATCTTTCTGTAGAGTAATCTGTTTCATCAAGAGAATTTAGACCCCCGGCTAAAATGTGTGGCTTATCAGATGATTGGATTATTGCATTTATCTGCTTCATTCGCCAATTCTCATCCAAGTGATCAAGGTGTGTACAGAAGAAATTTAACTCTCCAACTCGAGGAACGTCAATTGTTGCCTTCAGAACATTTCTGCATTCACCATAAAAGATTAACATCCTTCCATTAGATGCAATAATTTCTCTATGCTTCGCGCTATAGTACTGTGCTTCTCTTGTAAAGTTGAATCAAGTGCTTATGTACATCTTGACAAATGAACTACCATAATTGCACATCACTGCATGAATACTACCCTTAGATCCAGGCAAAATGAACCGCTAAACTCAACCACTTACAAAAGAACAAGGCATAATACATAAACAGACACTCAAACTCGGCCTCAACTGATATATAAAGACTCCAACTTTGAGTATGCACATCTAGACACCTCAACTCGTCTCCACTATCTCAGACTGTCAGTTGAACACTCCAACTTACAAAATAATCATTTAGATATCTATAAACGTGTATGTGCCAAGTCAGCATCGGGTGTCCACGAGACACAACGGGGAGAGTTGGATTGTTTAGTCCAATTGAGACCAAGTTGAAGTGGAGTGACTTGCCAGCTAAGGTCAAGTTTGAGTGTTTGTTCATATATTATGTCAAAAAAACAAACTAGTAACTATGACATACATGGTCCATAGAAAAATACCAAATTTACCAGAGGTTTAAGAACTAGATAATTGAACTTAGTGAGTTACTGTATCTGATAAAAAAAATACAGATTTTCTGTCCCTTTAGTGAGATATTATATACTTCATAAGTAATAAAATACTCTGTACGCGCTAAATTAGCTGGCTAGAATTTCTATATTTTGCTAAAACTTTTGAGTTAGATGATTAATCTTTCTGTAACTTTATTAATTCATTCATTTTTTGCTTTAGATTGGCATAAGTTTATCATGACATAGAAAATACAGTAAGGTACAACATGGATCATACTTCTGTGAATAAATTATGAAGTAACTAATTACAAAGTTCCTGCAGCACAAGATGCAGAAAAAATCTACCATGAAAAATCTGTTTGCATAGTTTCAGGTTCGTTAAATTTGTAATTTATTCGACAAAAAAAAGAAAAAACAAAGGCGAAGAAAGACAATTTTTATGATCTAAAATCTACCATCACTCTCATTCATTTTGTATGCATTGACGATGTAAAAGATATTTATACAATCAAATCAACGTTTGAAGTAATGAGAGATAAAATTACCTAAAGTCGGAGTCATCAAAGATTTTTTGAATATTCCAGGACTTGATGGGCCATTTTGACATAATAGCATTACCATACTCAGGTGCCCAACTCTCTGCAAAAACATAATTCATCCCTAAAGCATCAGCCAAATCCGATAACGGCTTCATACCTTTCTCCTCCTCTGCTTTAACATCTTGCAAAGCCAAAATATCCGCATTCAATTCTCTCAAAACTTCAAGTACACTTCTCGTAATTCTATAGTTTTGACAATCAATCCGAGGCATACTCACAGTAGACCTTAACGGAGCTTTTCCTCTACATATACCACTCCCCGAAAACCTCTCACTATCACATCCCAAAATCCTCAATTGCCCACTTTTCTTCAGAGATATTTCATTATCTGGTAAATTAATCGAAACCCTTAACTTCGATTTCGAGAAACTTTGTCTTTTCAACAATAGCGTATCCGTTTCTTTCGTGGGATGAAGAGGAGATTGTTTGAGTATACTCTTAGGCCGATCATTCGCTGATTTCACTCTTAAATTATAGTAATCATTCATTTTACCAGCTTTTGAATTTGAAAATTCGTCATTTTCAAAATCAAAACTAGCTGATCTATCAGTACTACTCTTTGGGAGTGCCGGCGCCATGGAGAAAAGGGCAGCATTAAATGTAGCTACGCGTATTGTTCCTCCAGTTTTAGAACGATTCAATTCGCCATTACTGGGATGAATTGCTGCAGACCCATTTGAATTTGATGGATCAATTTGAGAATGAGAACTTGAATTGGATTTTCCGAGTTTTGTCACAGTAATTTTGATTTTGCTCTTTGAACGGCAGCGTATTGGCCACCGGAGACTAAAACAGAGGCGCTTCAGCTTTTCGTTGAGGACTCTTAGCATGACTTAGAAATGGGATTTAACAGAAATGGTTGACTGAAGAGAAGAGTGATATACTTACACTTAATATAAGTATTGTGATCAATACGTATCCGTATCCGTGTGGTGAGATGACTATAATCTCTTGATTCAATATTTTTTATTAAAATTAGTCGGATCAGTAAATTTTGAAAATGATGGTAAAGTTGGAGGACTTAGAAGGAGTCTTATGGAGAATAGTTAGGTGACACGTGGCAGTTTTTTTTGGGGATTTCTGTTTGATGAATTAAAATTTTCTGTTAACAAGTTGTGAAAAGACAAATGGCAATGTTTCTTTATTCTTTTGGGTTTCCATGTGTAGCCCATATTGAATTCGGATCACATATTTCAAGGCTTATTCTAAGATGA